GTGTCTGCAAAAAAAACAACAAAAAAAAACAAGGTTTTCGGGAGTTGCAATTGCAAATGTTTAAACTGAATATTTTTTTATCAGAGTTTTTTTTTATAGTTTACCATCCTTTAATAGGAATGCCTGTGAAAGTACTTGAATAACCAGATGTTCCTCTTAATGTGTGGAACATGGAGTAGAAAAGTACTATTTGAAGCCTTTTGCTTTATCCCTTATGTCAGTGAAAACCGCTGTTTAGCTTGCCAAAAGAAGAAAGATTAGAAAGATGGCTGTTTTTTTTTTTTTTTTGAAGTTACATTTGCAAACCTAAGCGTGCTCTTTGTGTTCAGCAGCAGACTGCAGGCTAGCTGAATAACAGGAAAATACTGCTAAATTACCATATGTTATGTATTTTGATTATGTTAATCTTTAAAAAGCAAAAGGCTTCAAATAGTATACTTAGAAATGCACTCATCCCAATGTTGTGGCTAATGTCCTGTCTTTGTAAAGTATTGAGCTGCTGATATCGATCGCTCTTTGAAAATTAATGAGATGACGCAAGAGGACGAGTCCCCTTCATGTATTCTAGAAACTCTAGATCCTTACTTTGAGATTGCCTCAAGAGCACCAATAGTTCCACATCCAGCATGTCCTATGAGAGCTAGAGATTGATAGAGTGGCATTGCTTTAGTCCTTTATCTACTCAAACTCTTAAACCCTCATCCTCTTACAACATCCGTTGACACATTGATAATGTTGCTTTCTTTATTCATCTCTTCTCTACCCTTAATTTATGCCACTTAACACATATAACACACAGAATATTGTGTTGTTACTGTGTCATGTAGTGCTTAATATCTCTTCTGCCATCTTCTGCTGGTCTAACAGCATCTAATTAAGTGACTTTAAGAAGCTCAACAAGTTGATAAAAGGTCGGCTCTGTTCTGGGAACTGTTCTAGATTCTCTAGGAATAATTTCACGACAATAATTGCAAACAACATGAAGAACATTACTGAAAAAAGTGAGCAATCCTTTTTAAAAGACCAATAAACAACCCCAGCGTCTTCAGTCAATGTCTTCCTCAGATCTCGGAGAAGACGGACCTCTACAGAACATCCTTCCTGTCTAAATTTATCAAGATGTACAAAATATCCTTTAAAAAGCTGAGCTGAGTTTGAATTGGTTTATATGTTCCGCAGTAGCGCAGTGGGTAGCACTGCTGCCTTGCAGCAAGAAGTTTCCGGGTTTGATTCCCGGCATGGGGTCTTTCTGCATGGAGTTAGCATTTTCTCCCTGAGCATGCATGGGTTCTCTCTGGGTACTCTGGCTTCTTCCCACAGTCCAAAAACATGACTGTTGGGTTAAATGGCTTATCTACAGTTGTGAGTGTGTGTGAATGGTTGTTTGTCCTGTTTGTCTATGTGTTGCCCTGCGATGGACTGGCGACCTGTCCAGGGTGTACCCCACCTCTCGCCCAACGACTGCTGGAGATAGGCATTCGGGATAAGCGTGTTCGAAGATGGATGGATGGATTTAGATTCAACAGCTAATGACTCCAAGCATTTTTAATTAGATTTTGCAATCTTACAACCAATTGCATTTTGTTCGCGTTCATCCTTCATTCCTGTTTAAGTAGACAGTCACACCTATGTTTGATTCATTGAAGGAGCAGTAGCAATAACAGCTGATTTTCCATCTAAATGATAGCAGTTATGTTATACATTTGTGTTTTTTTTGTGTAAACACTGAAGCTAATATTTTTAACAAGGTTAAATGTAAAAACTGATGTCTCTCCTGTTTCCTTTCCTTTAAGTAGATTCAAACCCTCTGCCAGAAAGGTCTGAAAAAAGCCCTCCCTGGCTTATGTGCCATGTTAAGTTGTCACTCTCGTGTGGCCTTCTGCTTTGCTGTCTCCAGCAGTAGTCACTTCCTGCGGCTAATCATACTTTGATATGCTGTGGCACGAACCTCGGTTCCCTTTAGAAATGAACAAACAAGGTGCCCCGGGAGATCTCGAGGCGACCGGGGCTCTTGCTTTTTGTCTGTTGCTCTGCGATATGTCCTTTTGAACACCCACCTTTTTTTTTTGTCTTTTCACGGCCTCTCTCTTTACATTAGTCTCTGCATCCTTGTGAAGAGGAAAGTTGGACACCAGTCAGAGAAACAGAAGTGTGATTTCTGCCTTTGCGCTCTCAGTGGGATTTAAGGCAGCCTGTTAAGCTAAGCTGGGAGGATGGAGGCTGTAGAGAACTGCCAGAATGATAGTTTTGATTACATCAGACAGATACAGCTCTCATCTCCCTTTGAGTCTGCATGAATAATTGTTTTGACAATCAGTGGATTATCCTTAAGGAATCACTTTAGACTGAGTAAACTTGCATATTTAATGTAGTCGGCCACCTTTGAATAAACCAGGATGCGGCCATCTCATCTATTTTATGTCCGTTGGTGGCACTCTTGGTGAGGGTTGGTGGTCAGTGTTTATTGCCTCTGAGTTAAGAAGGATGCAAAGCTAATGTGGCGTTGAGGGTTTTCTAAAGAGGAGGCGTACACCATAATGGCTCTCCAACTTAATGGTCAGAGGATTTTCTATGCAAAGGTAATGATGCTCCGTCTCGTTTCTCCCACCAGCACTCTAAATGGACAAAAGATGTTTTTCTAAGTGCCAAGCTTTACACTGTTCTCACACGGCATCCTGGGTCTTTCACACTTGGCTTGATAGAGATAGTCTAAAAGCCTGAGGTATTATGTTAGGTCTGCAGAGGCTATGGAAATGTATATTGAGTGCGCTGAGGGATTTTGCCAGATAGAAAAGGGTTTGATTGTTGCCCAGTCTCTGTCACTGTTCTCCACGCCTCTGCTCTTGGATTTCTTTCCTTCTTTTAGCTTTTTTTTTTTCTGGGGGGGTGGCAGTGCTGTGTGGGTTTTTCAAGGAAATGAAGGCTGTGGATGATGGCTTTTACTCGTTAGTTGTCACACTTTTCCACTGGGTTGAATTGGGAATTAGCTAATGGTTAGAGCACTGCTACTGTTGTTCTATTTACTGCGTTGAGTCAGTATGATCTGAAATGTTTTCTTTATTTGGGTGTTTAAGGTTGGATGCACCGAGGCTACAGAAATATTCAGCCATCTGTAGGGTAAATCTGGAGGAGCTCCTGAAAACCACAGCTCAGGTGGAAATAACTGGCGATAGGACAGCTAGTCATACGCTGACCTAAGCCAGAGTTATAGTAGACAGATTGGTAGTTCAATTTGAATTCTGCACAGTATACTGGAAAAACTATCTAGAAAAAAGTACACATTTCTTAAATTAAGTCTATTTATCCTTAATTTGAGTAGGTAAA